GGTTAGTTGCACTTTAAGAATAGCAGCACTTTCTTTATATTCACATATATATACCTCTTTACCTTAGCTGTAATGTTAACCCATTTCAGACCATGTGTCATTCCCTAGAGTATCATTTCTTTGTTTAACAGTTGTGCATGAAAAGGTACATGAATATGAATACAATTCGAGCAAAGAATCTTATTCTTGAGAGAATGACACATCTGAGATGGAAAACATTATATCCAATGTAACAAGGTTTATTTTCCAATCCCCCTATTGCATTTTGAGATGTTCAAACGTTTTACGCCTTTGGGAGATGCAAGATAAATAGTCCTTCAAAAGGAGCTACAATTCACTGCCATTTTCATAAACATGCAAACTCAGTAGCTGCGAGCTGCACGATGAAATTCGGTTTTTCTCTGCTGTCAATCAAAACTAATCAGTCAATACCTTTCATATTTTTGACTGGGGGTAGCGAAAAAATAAATTTCAGCGTGCAGCTTGCAGCTATCGAGTTTGCATGTTTATGAAAATGACGGTAAAAGAATTTTCGGAAGTGGTTTAAAGATGTATTAAGCAAAATTATTTCAACATTGAAGGCTTTCTTTTAAATATTGAAAACCGCATTCAATTCATTTGCAACTCAAGTTATTTACTACACAGGGCACTTGCACAAAAACAACTAGATGGCAAGCTTGAAATTTCTGCCATTTGGTGGTTGGTGATCACAACTTTACCTTACTAATACATATAAGACTACATGAAATGACACCATTCCGTAATAGAGTTTAATGTTAGGTTTTTGGCAGTGCATTGTGAGACTGTCTTAGGGGGGCATATTTCCAATATGATGTCTATTTCGTCCCCTAAAACAGTACTCTTCCACRATGCACTGCAAGGTCAACTAGAGTCAGTATTTTCCTTAACCATGGAATGGCTTCCTAATAGCTAAATAGTTGCTAGAAATGGACTGTTACAATGAATTTTTGACTTCATTCCCCCTTTCGAAGAGGACCTCAGGAGGGAGAATTTACCCCTGACAGGGCCTTGCTGTCCATAATATTGATAAGATCAGTCTGTCAATCATTGGTTGTTCATGGCTCCTGTCACAGTTCCAAGGCCAAGTGGCTTCTCAGAATTTACCCCTAACAAGGCCTCTTAAACATGTGTGTGTCAAGCATGCACAAAACTGACTTTAACGACACAGTAGGTATTCTTATATGACAATTTAGGAGAGTAGCACAGATTATTAGGGKTTTTCACTTATTATGAGATAGAGCGATCTTACTTGACCCATGAAACAAAGTCCTATAAATAGT